ATCACCTGGTCTGTGAACGGTTCAATCATGAAAACCTGTTTATTTCCATTCAGATGTATGTTTATTCCATTTTAAAACCTGTTTATTTCCATTCAGATTTATGTTTATTCCATAGGTGATATAATGGCTGAAAACTTAATATAAATCATTGAAAAGCAAATAAGGCCCCCTACAGGATGGATTCATCTGGTGTCAGGTCAAAGACATGGGTTCACATCCCTCCTTACTGCTGTTTGATTCAATTCCTTGTGAATAACCCAGGAGGAGATTTCTCAGTGGATTTTAATTTGCTCTGATTTAACACACGCTGAGAACTACAACATAAAAATTTCAGTTTAACTTGATTACAGCCTCAGCGCGCACCGGGAACTAAAGCATGAATATTATAAATCATTTTTCATGTTAAACAGAAGAAGAAGATGGGGCCACTGTAAAAACACGCCCTTGTTTACCGCTCACCACACTGGGAGCTAATCTGGCATTGATGCTCGTAATCTATTAAAATTACCTTCATTAATTTCGTTCCTGAGGCTCAAACTCTGCAACAAACAAATAAAACATATCCGCGCCATATTATCCTGCACTGTAAATGAGGCTAAATTGCACCGTAAATCCTGCCAGATCCCAGCACCGCTGCACCCAGTCACGCAGCACAGGGTCTCTCATGCATTATTTATTTATTTTATTTATTTGTTTGTTTGCTTGTTTATTTGTACATTTCATTACGTGCCAGCGAGAAAAGCTACTTCCCAACATTCTTAGTGTGAATAATAAAGTGTTACTTTTTACAAACAGATGCTTCTACTTCATCAAAGCAAAAGTTTCCTCTGATCTGGATGTTGTGGCTTTCCTGCTGCTGCTGCTGCTGCTGCTGCTGCTGTTACTTCTGCTGTTACTGCTGCTGCTGCTGCTGTTACTGCTGCTGTTGCTGCTGCTGCTGCTGCTGCTGTTACTGCTGCTGCTGCTGCTGCTGCACCTTTATAACAGGAAACCCTCGGTGAGATGTTGCATATATCTGTCATTTCCCTTGTGCTGCTGAAAACAAAGCTCTTTCTCAGACAGACAATAGTTCAAACAGATGAGCAGATCACCTCTGGTGACCCTCACCTCTGCCCTGTCTCCATGTGTCTCATGTTTACTCTCTCATCCGTCCACCTTCGCCCTGTAATAACGGCACACATCACACACTCTGAGCAGTAGAGGGGGGTTTCCTGGCACTGAGCAGCAGCAGCAGCAGCAGCAGTAACAGCAGTAACAGCAGCCCCAGGAGAGTGTGGGTCCAGGCTGTTACGACGGTCACTGGTGTCAGACATGATGGAGGACATTATCACACTGTCAGGGCCTCTGATGGTGATGGAGCAGAGACAGAGGCAGACAGGACACACACACACACACACACAGGAGAGTGTGGTGTTAAATAGGTTAGTGGTGAAACACCGAGACACTGAGGTGACTGAGATGAGAGGGTGGAGGAGAGAGAAGAGGGAGAGGGAGTTAGTCACGACAGGCACAAAGAACTGAGGGCAATGGTTTGACTTGGTTCAAATGTTTTAACGTCTCAACAAAAGGACAAATATTCTGTCTGTTCACTGTGAAAAATATGATTATGTAGCATTTTAATCATTTTAATCATTTTAGGACCCATTACTGGCATTTTACTTAGAGCTACCTCCCTTTTTGGATTATTTTTAAACTTTTTTTTTACATATAAAGATTAACTTTATTTCTATATTTTTTTGGCCAAATTTGACTCTTGTAGTCCTAATGTTATTGGCAAGTTGTGGAACTTGGGTCAGTTCAAGGTGGATTTTGATAAAAACACATAGAAATATGGATGGATGGATGGATGGATATATATATATATATATATATATATTTTTGCTAACACAAGTCATGGATTTCTTTTTATTTATTTTGTACTCCTCCTTTTCTGACTTCATTGTTGCTATATTTTAGTTTATTAACACATGGATTTCCTCCACTACTGCACAATGTATTTCTGAGGACAGTTCTGAGGACAGTTCTGAGGACAGTTCTGAGGACAGTTCTGAGGACAGTTCTGTACTCTATGTATATTTTACATAGTGGTACGCTGCCCACGTCTGGGCCGAGGCCGAGTCTTCCTGTTTTTACAAGTTAATTTCTCACTCTGGATAATTCCAAACCTGGTTTAAAGACAGGCAGGTCAATAGTTTACAGAGTGTAAAACCCCTCATCCGTCACTCTAATTCAATTCAAAACCTCTACTGTGGTTGATATTGACAAGACTGAGGCGCGACTGAGGCAAACCAGAGCAGGAAGACGAGGTACGGAGCATGAAAAAAAACATTTCAACCGATTTTAACTTAATATCTGGCCTGTTAAAAAAAAATCCACTGCTTTAAACAATATCACATCAGCCTGAAGATGAAGTCAAGTATATCAGAGAAGAAGAAAAATAAATAAATCTGTGACATGAATGAATGTTACTGTAGTGGATGCAGCTCCTCATTGAGATGTTTCATCAGGAACCTCTCATCAAGCAGCTCCTCTAAACTGTGACTCACGGAGTGAAGAGGTTCAGCCGGTGCTTGACTTAACATTAGAACATTTAAATTGTTAAGATGAATTGTTTTAAAGTGATGTCGAGCTTCAGCTGCGTTCGCTCCCCTGACATTTGGCTTACGCTGCCGTATCTCAGAATGATGTGAAGTGCGACACGCACAGATTCACCTTTGTGACTCCCAGCCGTCATTTGTATGTAAGGTCTAAAGTCGGGCTGATGAAAAAAAAAAAAATACAGTTGTTTGTCTGTAGGTTACGTCCTCCTGTAGCTTCATGTCAAACAGCGTGGTTTTAATGAATGTTGAAAACATGTCTTCAGACTGCGGACTGTGGATTCAGTTCAGTAAGTAAGGCTTCAGTTTAGAGGAAAACGACCAAAAAAATCACTTCCAGCGAAAAATGCAGATGAAAAAATGTGAGTTCTGCGACTGTGCCCTGCTCCGTTATCCATTTTCTACTAAATGGGATTTTAATTTACAAAATGTAGTGCATATTCAATTGAAGAAAATGTAAAACTCACAAAAACACAAATTTTATAATAACCAACGTTTTTACTCCGACTTGGGTTTTTTCCCTGAATCCCTCATTTTGACAGCAGCCAGGATTCCAGGCAGGGCCCGAACTTGACTCTGTGCTGTTCTGGTGTTGAAGAAGCGTAATGGTTCTGTGGACTGGCACAGTGGTCATGCTGAGAAGAGGGAGAACAGGATGTAACTACTGAGCCATTACTGCATCACTAACACGTCCAGGAAGAGGTGGACGCAGTGAAAGACATGAAAGAACAGGCACAAAGAACACAAAAGAACAGGGGTTAGCTGGCTGGATTGTTCCGTCGTATTTAAGATACATTATAGCACATACTAAAGTAGTGACTGAGTTTGACTACCTTTTGCACCATAATAAAAAAACACTCAGAATTGATGAAGCTCACCTCATAAATGAAACGTCTTTTTAAATCTTTAGTTCTTACGATTATAAATAGTTTTAAATTCACATAAGGAATAGTTGTTTTTCCTTCTTTAGTTCGACTTTTCTAACAGGAAGTTGATGTTTGTCATTTGAAGTCTTTGCTGTAGATCTACAGAAGTGACACCAGATTACCAGGGTAGGGCATCAGAGTGAGATTTAACGAGATTATTTTTAATTTCTCAGCCTCAGTTTCAGGCTCCATAGTCTCTTTAGCTTTTCCTTTGTGGCTAAAATGTGGGTTTTGTCTGCTTGGTCTGCTTGTTTCAGTCATGTTCCAAAGAAAATGAACCATGATGTGAAAAAGTCTTCATTCATCAAAATTATTGAATTATTACTCTTTTAAAATCTCAGTCATGGGGAGCTAGATTTAAGTAAAAACAAATAGTAAAATGATTCAAATTAGTCTAAAAACAACGATGTGCTAATTTTTCTAAGAATTAACCAAAATAAAAATGATTTATTCTGTAAATGAAGTTGATCAAATTTAGCTCAAAGATACATAAAAATGCATAAAACCTTGCTTTGAATTTCCTGATAACGCCCTCCTCAGAAAGGGAAAAAAAACTGGAAAGAAAAAAAAGTTGCCACAAAAATCCCACACAGGTGCCACAACTGACCAGACTCTGGACATGCCTGAAATAGGACGTGGACAATGAGATTTATGAATATCTTTATTTCTACTCTTCAACCAGAATAACCTTCTCTCATCTTCAATCCAAGCTGAGCCTCTATTTGTAAACCTTGCATCAGAAATGCAGCACCTGTGGCGGCTGGAGAAGGTCTCCCGACGCTCCTGAATCTAATTCTAAAAACTATAACTCTGGCTGTGCGTGTCCATGGGATTACGCTGTCCTGACACAAGAGAGCATATTACCAACTGCAATTTTTAATAAAAATGTGCCCCCAGCCTCCCTGCTGGTGTAGAGCGAGGCTTAGTGAAACGTGGACCACATCATTAGCATTTAAAGAGCTCAGGATCATCCCAGGATCCACAGCAAATCCATCGCAAGAATCTGATAGAAGCACAAAGAGAGGGAAATGAGGGGAAAAAACAGAGTAAATTCCACATTGAAATGCTGTTTCAGATGAACGTCAGGCCAAGTGAGGACGGTTACTGTGGTGACGGGTGGAACGCAAGAATCTGCGATTGGGAAAGGCATATTAACACCAGTCAAACGGAAGATGCTCAGAATCTAACCCAAAAGAAATGAGTCAAAAAGTTCTGTAAAAATAAATATTGTTGAAAATAACAGGTATTTTAGTTGCAGCGTTGGAGACACTGGAGAGACGTGTGTTCGTTGTGTTTTTTATTTTCTTTTTCTTTTTTACTTCTCCTTGATATAACATGCCAAATGTCACCAGGCAGAGACCAGGAGACTGTTCAGAGTTTGTTCACTTCACTGCATTACGGTCATGGGAAACTAAACATCCAGTCTCTTTATTGGATTTGTACCTTCGATCTCCGAATCCAGGACTCCTGGGCCGCCGTCTCCACGGCACCCAGGCACATGATTAGCACCACGCCGTCACCCCTCCACCCCCGCCCCCGCTAATAATAATATGTGCAAATTACACTTAATCACTCGTCATTTGGGTCATCTTCAGATAGAGCCACGCTGACTGCCGTCTAAACACATTACATCGTGACATGGCAATTATGTGTTATTTAGAGGGAGAAGGAATAATGAGCGCGTCTCTCTTTGTGAGGAAAAACTCTAGGTTCTAATGGTCTCCATCGTCTCATATACTCTTACTGCTCCTACTTTAAACTAACACGAGGAAAAGATTTTCATAGGACGAAGGGTTTTGGAAGCCGGAGTCTTCAGTGTCACTGGAACAGCTCTGATATTTGATGGACGTCCTTCAGGAGTATTTACAGCACATGCTGCATGTGCTGCTCCTGTTTTCCACTAGTTTTGTCATGCTTTGTTCAGGGTCAGTCAACATGCGTCACGACCAGTGATTTAACATGTTGTAAAAAAACAACCATTTTTTTTAGTGACTCATAGCCAGAGCTCACACATACACACACACACACACACGCACACACGTTCTCTTATGTATGTGTAAAGGTTTTTTAAATGTATTCTTCAGGGGTTTATATATATATATATATATATATATGTATATGTATATATATATACATATATACATATATATGTATATATGTATATATGTATATATATAATATATATATATTGAAATACTAGCTTTGTACTTTCTGCTTGTGTACTGTTGCCTCTGCATTAATTGAAATAAAATGCTAAGTTATTTACAGTGTCTGTCATCGATGCTCTTTTTTCAACCATTATGGCAGCCATTTTTGGTTAATAATGTTGAATTCCTTCTTTAATTTCTCCCATTAATGCTCAGTTCTGTCTTTGTCACTAACGTTTGGTGGTTCACAGTCTGTCAGTCAGACTTTTATACCTCTTTATTCATCTTTTTTAAACCTTTGTGCTTATATGTTGAGTATTTTAAACGTGAGTACAGCCGAGAGAATTTATTTGCATGGAAACAATTGAGTAGAATAAATATTTTTTTTTGTTTTTAGCTAATTCGTTCAAACAGCGTACTCTGGTGGTCAATTTGTGCTATTAATAGCCAACCCCAACGTCTGCGGTCTTGGCAGCAGGGTACGCGGTTGACCCTTTTATTTATTTTTTCCGCGAATAAATAAATAACATAGCTTTTTCTTTCATAGTGAAATAATACACGAATCTTATTGGAACTACCGTGGCAGAAAACGAGGTACAAAAAAGTCTTACTTTGCTCCCACCCCGATCCTTAAGGTGGTGCGCTGTCTAAGTAATCCCGGTGGCTGTTTTTGCCTTAGAAGAAGAAAGTTCTCGAAAACTCTATTTGGGCTTTCGAGCTCGCCGTCATCTCAACAATCTCTCAATAATAATAATAATTAATAAAACGTTAACCTTACGAAACAAATTAAAATGTAATCACGGTGTTATTTTATTTATTTGGCTTCAGACAAGGTCTTTGTGAATAAACAACCGTACGGTTACAGCGTTAGAAAGGGGAGGGAACGTTGTACAGGGAGAAAAGACACCAAGCCGGAAGCATATCGTCGGTGCACACACTCTGCTAGTGTTGTATTTACGGTATTGTTAGTAGGGAACTGTTTTATTTCAAAATGATGAATTATTCTGACTACGACTCTGACGGGTATGAGTCCAACGATGACGCAGACTACGTACCCTCAGGTGAGGGCTAAAAAAGGTTATGTTTGTGAACACGTTGCCACAAAATATCTCGGTGTGTTGTTGGAGTAAACGGATGTTATCACGCACGGAGTATGAATGGACGTCGAATAATTGTCAGTTGAGCATAAAAAACGACCCGTTTGTCACCGAATGAATAATCTTTACACCAAGGAGTGTCCAAAAACACTCGTGAACACGTGGTTAACTAGCTGATGTGTATAGTACATGCATTTTAGTCTGTTGTCATTGGAGAATCAAAGCAGTTTTGCTATTTGTACACATGTCTAAAGGGCAATGGGAAGACGGTTAGGAAGAAAATACAACCACTAGACGGCATGAATGCCGGCTTGAAACGCGTTTGGCTGCTCAATAAAATGACATATTACATTTTGTTTTATTTATTTAAAAAATTGAGACATTTCACTCTTTAAAGCAAGGATGTCGTACACTCCTAACGGTTGATTTCATATATATGTATGTATGTATGTATGGTTGATTTCATATATATGTATATGAATGTATGTATGTATGACTTCTTTATTTACATCTTGTTGTTGCCTCAGATGACAACCTCAGTGAAGATGACATTAATGAGTGTGTAAAGGAAGACCCTCTGAACGATGATGGAGATGAACCACGTCCTGATGACGTCAGGACAAAGAAGAACAAGAAGAAAGACATCAGTGTGAGGTAAATGTGTGAGAAACAGGTTTGCAGAACTTTATGATATGGATCAGTTAAGAATTGTGTATCTGCATCACAGTTTAATAAAAAAAATGTAAATTTGGACTTAAATGTCAGTAATAGGTGTGGATGACTCTTGTTTAACAAACCTGTTGAGTTTTCAATATAAATAATTATAGAAAAGGTATATTATACTTTTTAAATTGCACATCGATTCACTGCTGTTTCTGGAAAAAATATTTCCAGGAAGAGGAAGAAAGGAGTACTAAAGCTACAGAAGGAGGAGGAGAAAGATGTAGGAGGATCGGAACAGATAGAGGAGCCACAGGAGGACCTGACCAAAGCCACTGGCACAGGGGAAAAAGAAACAAAAGCAAAGAAAAAGGCTGATGATCTGTGGGCGAGTTTTCTGTCTGACGTGGGATCAAGACCTAAAGAATCGACTCCTGCTTCACCGTCAAGTTCAGCGCAGAAGGTGAAAGACACGCATTTCTTCCCTGTTTGCCACATATATCAAAACATTAAAAAGAAACTCCAGGTCAAAGAATTTCTTCCCTGTTTGCCACATTAAAAAGAAACTCCAGGTCAAAGACCGTGGGCAGGGTCACTGACTTTGCCTTGCTCTACAGTACCAGAGTGTAGGAGCTGTTCTGCCAGAGCAGAGGGCTTGTTTATTTGTTTACAAAGCAATTATTCACTCTTAAAATACAAATTTAATTAGATTAGATTATTATCATAATCCCCCCACATGACTCATGTTGGCTGAAAAACCTTAAATAGTTCTATTAGGTCTAAATGTAGCCTGTACGTTGAGCCATGGCCGTGAAATCTAGCTGTGTTTTCAACAGTTGCCATTTTTCTCTCTTTAACCTTTTTAATTTTTTTCACCTCACAGGAGGACACCAATGTAATAACAGCTGTAACAAAAACATCAGAACCCGCCAAAGTCACCATCACCAAGGTTTTTGACTTTGCTGGAGAAGAGATTCGGTAGGTCTCAAAACTTTTTCCTGCCTATAACAAAAAACAAACAAAAACAAATCAGTTGTCAACATCAAGGTAAAACGAATATTTTAAAATGATATTTAGTATTTATTTGGACACACACACAATAATATAGAGATGATAAAAAGTGTTGCCTACTGCAGATGTAATAAATGTATACTGAGAAGAAATTGTAGAAACGGTCTCTTAGTGCCACCCTGTGGACAACGTCTTGATCCTCGTCTGTGTTGTTACACTAGAATGGAATTGTGATTTAGAATGCCACAATCTTTATTGTTCATCCTGGGTGAAAAATAAATGTAAAAACCAAAACCACACTGCATTCAATAAAACAAATATTGAAGTTTATTGCTGACACTAGTAACCATATTCAATGCATCCAGGGAGCTTCCAAGACAGAGAATTGCTGGAGTAAAATATAAATACCTTTATCTGTTTTGTCATTTTTTTTGATCACTTGCACTGATGCACTTAAAAAAAAAACAAAGCTATCTTGTATTTACCATTCATTTTCTCAAAAAATTCCTCTCAAGACGACATAAAAACACTTCGGATCATTGAAAAAAGAATTTAAATTAATGTTGGCGACAGAAGAAAACATGTACATTTAACACCTCAACCCCACCCCACACATTAGGCTGGTAAACCTGGTTGCAATTTGCAACTTGCAACCGTTCCACTAGATGGCGCAGTAGTAGCTCTTATTAAGTTTGCCAAGCCTCGCAAAGAAGCATTCAAATTCGGCACAGAATTTAAAAATAAATAAATGTATTAGTTAAAGCTGAAAATGACGTCAAAACACGTCTTTAAATCAAGTTTATTAATTAATTAATGAGTGACATGATATATAGTATTTAAACTGCAACATGACATCACACAAAATTCAATGTTTGTTTTTGTTTTTTTACAAATCCCCTTACACCGAACTGTGCATGTATAGTATTTAAACTGCAACTTGACATCACACAAAATTCAATGTTTGTTTTTGTTTTTTTACAAATCCCCTTACACCGAACTGTGCATTTTCATGTAAATATTGCTGCATATAATTTGCATATATAACAAGAAGATTCTCATGATGGATGCATTTTAATTTTAAAGCTAGTGCAGCACTGATGTTACTCAAAGATGCAGCTGAAAAATGTGTGGCTCTTAGCCTGCCCCCTGGAGGCTGTACTGTATAATATATATAACACGTGTTTTCTCAATCTTCTTCACTGGTCAAAATTAGTACGAAATCACTCATTTATCTAATTCTCCTCCTGTCAGGGTGCAGCAAGAAGTTTCCGCAGACTCCAAAGAAGCTAAGACTTTTTTTAAAAGTCAAAACAAAGATGAGCAGGAGAAAGACGATGAAGTGGAGACGTCGTCAACCAGCCAGACGCCTTGTCCTGGCCCAAGGTACACTAACAAATTCACAACAAACATTGACTTTGGGATAGAGATTAAAGACAAGGTCAGACTGATATATGTGAATGGAAAATAGTTGGGGTTTTTTGTTTTAGATTGGTTGTTTAATTTTGTTTATTTTTTTTGTTTTAGATTGGTTGTTTAATTTTTCATGCTTTGGAGCTTCTTTTTTTTTTAGATTTTACAGCCAGTAGATGGCTCGCTTCATTCCTTTGTCCCAAATGGATTTTGGCTCTGGTATCTTAAACTGAGTATACAAACAGAGAGGTTGGTGTCTTGTAGTTTTTGCAGCGAACTCAGGCATTTTTGGCAATAAGTGAAGTTTAAGTTAGGACTTAGTATCAAGTGCCGTGGTATCGACAGTCGAGTCCTGGTCTTCAGGTCTACTGTAACATAAATCCAACCAGATCAAACTCAGTGTCTTTGCCTCACGCTGTATGTACTGTGTGTGGCTCTTTGTCCTGACACATTTTTATTAACTTCTGTTGGCAATAAACCATGCTGGGCGTGCACATCTTCCCTCCAAAACCTCAGGCAGGAAACAGGAATTCAGCTGCCAACAGACAGGAAGTCAAGTGCATCCAGAAGTTATTTCCTATTTATCTCAAGCCTCATCCTTCTCTGTGTGTGTGTGAGTGAGAGAGACTAAATGTGAGTCTTAATGTGTGTTGGTGCAGGAGTTGAGGGATACTGAACACAACAGGAAAGAACCATCATCACCACTCCCTCATCACACACACACACACACACACACAGAGAGAGAGTTAGAGCTAAAGTTATTGTGTACTTATTGCAGTGATAGTGCAACTGTTATGTAACTTTTTATATATATATATATATATATTTATGTAACTTTTTATATACATATATATATATATATATATTATTCATTCTTACCAGCGATTTTTAAAAATGTTTTATTTAACATCAACATTTTCCCACAGTGATATTTTTGCATTTTCATGCCTTTTGCATTTAACTTGTATATAATTTTCCTGCCAGTTTAACTGAATAATGAAGGTCTTTGAGTTTTGCCTCACAATTAACTGTAAGTGATGCCAAAGAGCAGCTGAAGAAACCCAGTCAAATGATGTCATCACTAGTCACGATCAAACCAATAATTAAGACCAGTGCAGTGTTATTCAACCTTGGGGTCACAACCACACTTGGGGTCACAAATGGGTTTTAAAAAAAAAACGATAAAAATATTTTTTCAGCTAATAATTATTCTTTTGAAAATGATGATTAAAAACAACATACACAATCTTAAACAACTGTATTCTTTCACTTTCATGCACAGAAGTATCTTTGAGTGTAGCCACAAATATGTGATGTCAAAATGGGGTCACCAGGTTGGTCCCTGGTTTAATGAATAAAGGCTGTAAACTGATATTCATAATTTCAGTTTACAGCCATAATTCCCTAAACTGTGGATTAACGAAGCTCAACAGCAGCCACTTTGAAATTGTGCAAACGAATTGTAATTGGAACAAACGTGGACAAATAGCTGAAATTGTGTAATTGGAACAAACGTGGACAAATAGAAGACAGAGTGAAGGTGACAGGTCTGGGCAGGATCACACGCTGCTCCGGTCTGAAGCAGCAGCAACATGCTCTAAACATAGTTTGGAATTTTTTGCCCCGGGGCCGAGTTAGAGTGGATGAGCAAAACCTCCCGACATCAACACGCTGCAATTCAAGTGCATTAATGTGAGGTTCTCATGGCCGTGTGCAATTGTGGAACACCAAAATGAGTGGTGTTGAAATGGCCCACGGTAATCCACGATATCTGCCTCCAGCCTCGCTGCAGTAAAATGAAAAGCTCGGTCGGCCGTGGTCTTCGGCGGGACGTGATTATGCCTTTACGGTGTGATTTATATCGTCGTCTTAAAGGGAAACTCTCCCCACGCCGACACTTTTCACTAACTGGTGTACACTGCACGCTCCACCTCATGATGCAGTCATTGATTTGCGAGGCCGATGGTGATTCCAGAATAAAAACGTAGTAATGGGCTATAACTATAAACCCAAACAACATAAATTGTATAATTGAAAAACACATCAAATTTTTTTGTGAAGTCAGCAATACAAATGCATTTCTCTATTAAAGCTGCAGCGGGCTGTAAACGGAGGAGGTGGAGGAGCGTCAGTCTGGAGATGTTATTTTAAACTGATCGCTCACTGATTCTAAACAAATGTGAAGCAAATGGCAGCACGGCGTTAAAGACACCTTTTTTCCTGTTGTGACATTTAAACCTTGCCTCGTTAAATCAAGTCAGTGCAGTAAATGGAAAGGGCAGCTGTGTTGAGTGAATGAAGAGAAAAATGACCTCACAAAACGTCAGCGGTCAGCCACAAATCATGTCCCCATCAGCTGACAGCTGAGTGTGGTTTTGTTATGGTTTATAAATAAATGCACCGACTTCTGCTCCTTCCCTACATTAGATAGAGTTAACAAAAAAAACAAAAAACAGAACGTTAGGAAAACAAGTGTTCTGGTGGTTTTCAAAGTGATTCTGTTTACAGATCTTCCTCAGTGGAGAGAAGGAGGGAGAAGGAAGAAAGAAAGAGGAGGAGACACGGAAATAATTGCATTATTCTGTCCCCCACTTCTGTCCAGTGTGCAGTGTCCCACCCTAATCTGAGGGTTCTCGTTCTCAGTGCTAAGCGTCCGGCAGGAATGTCCAACCTCCTGGGTCGCATTGGTGGGAAGAAGCAGAAGATGAGCACGCTGGAGAAGTCCAAGATGGACTGGGACGCGTTCAAATCGGAGGAGGGCATCACCGAGGAGCTGGCCATTCACAACAGAGGACGAGAAGGGTGAGAGACACGTGGCCGGTCACTGATATATTTATATATTTATATTTGTTACAAGGAGCCGATAGTTGGGTAGAGATTGATACATAGTGTTGTAGAGTTTATCCATTTACCAATCAGGTCAGCATCAGCCAGTGTGGTCGGCCCAGGTATCTGGGTCGGTAATCGGACAGAACAAGTCGGATTTGTGTGTCCTTACATTCATTTTAGAGTCAAATGAATCTGACTTCCAATCTGTGGAACCATAGTGTAGTGATTATCAAACCTGCCTTACACATCTGCATCACAACCAGAAGGTCCTGGGTTCGAGTCCCAGAGGAGCCACATACTTAATAGTGCCTCCTGTGGCAGCCTGTGTGGGTGCAAAGACTTGCACTGGGAATTTCCCCACTGTGGGATAATTTTTTTAATATGTTTTTAAATCTGCATGTTTTTAGATTTTTTTTTTATCTGTACAGTACAAACCACTGTCTTTCTTTATCTGTACAGTACAAACCACTGTATGGGTTTCTGCCACCTAGTGACTGGAGGCGTGTTATCATTCATGCCTTACAGCAGTGGTACACATTTCCCCACTATTTGGGAAGTACTGCTTTAAGGCAACCACTTTAGCCACTATCCACCACTTGGAGGGTAATCTACAAGAACATTAGCCCACAGTTTGCACCATAAACCCTCAGTTTCAGAACTTTAACCCTGGCATTAACCAGAGCCAAAAATAAAACATGGGCTCAATAAAAACCTGGATTCCATCCCTCTGCGGACCGTTGGTCCTGACTAAGACCTGTGTTTAGACGCTGTGTAAATGTCCCAGAGAGGTAACAAAAGTATGTACGCTGTCACACAGGCAATGATTACATACTGCACATGACCAACAGGGGCAGCAGCAGAGGGGGCTTATTAAAAAACACTTAGACTGAGCAGGGACACACACACACACCACAGGAAAGGTAGAAAAACGACTTCCTTTGCAGCGGTGGGGGAAGAAGGAGGGGGGACTCCCAGAGATGTGATGGACATGTTCCTTCTGCAGTCTCCATCCTCCCCTTGTATTTTAAGCGTGCCTGTGAGTGTGATGATAAAGAAGATCTAAAGTTCTTCTCGCTGCTGCTGCTGTGTGCAGGTATGTGGAACGGAAGAACTTCCTGGATCGAGTCGATCACCGGCAGTTTGAGTTGGAAAAGGCAGTGAGACTGAGCAACATGAAACCATGACAGTATTTGACAGTACAGCCTACACATACACACACACTCACACACAATCACACACACACACACGAACAGATGTTGGTCTGCCTGTGTCTTCTGTTCTCGCTGCCGTGGCCTCAGTACAGGCAGCTCAGGCTGCTGCTGTGGAATGAGTCTATTTCAGGACCAGGATATTATTAGGAAGTGTTTGTGTAATGGATGGGTGGGTGTTGGGTGCTCTGCCTTTCCATCTATTTTCTCAACCAAGGCAACAATGGTCACATTTCATTGTCTAGTTCTGTCGTTAGGGGTCTGCGAACACCGTTATTACGCCGTAATTACGACGTTGGATGTCGACACACAGTCGGATCAAACGCTAATGCGAGCTGCGAATACAGTAATCCATTCATCCTCAACCGCTTAATCCTTTTCAGGTATGTGAAGTGGGCGTTGAAGCCCATCCACACAGTTATCAGGTCGCGGGGAAGGTGGGGGGGAGGGGCAGGGGGTACACCCTGGATAGTTCAACATCTCAGGTCCACATACAAAGACAAACAAGCGTTCATACTCGTATCTATGTTCAACATAATGTGTTCTGTTGACCAAACCCTTTGTGTTTGTGGATTGTGGGACGTAGCTGGAGTTTCTGAGGACAATCTCATGCATGCCCTGAGCAAAACAGGCAATAAGAATCCAGCTATTCAACATCTAAACTTACTTGGTTACACAGTTCTTGTTCAGTAGATTAGCCAAATTGTCATTGCAAGTGTATAGCAACATGCTATTATGCTAATGAGTCTGTTTTAGCTGTGTATGTGTTTAATTCTCAATAATTATAGTAATCAATCATGTCTCTTGGTTTGCAGTTGATGTTAAATATGTGGTCCTAAAACCCAGTCCTATAATATTTAGATTTAAACTAAATGGCTGCATTCACAGTGAGCTGAGCTCTACATGTGTTGATGAACACGTGTGTTTTCTCACCCATTCTTAGTTTTGGTTAAAGTCCAGGTCTAAGGACATTAGCTTTGATCATTTACTTAATAATTCATTTTTTAACTCATTTTTAAGTCAAGATTTTAATGATGATGATGTTTGTTTTTGAGGTCGCTGGTCATTTCACGTGATAATTACGATCATTTGTTCCTTCCTGTTTGGCCTGGTTGTCTTTATTTCCTCAAGTGATGATCATTGCCCCGGTGCTGCTCTTCTCATGCAGTGTTGTTTGGCTTCATTGACAGACGTTGTAGGTTACTGGGGTAAATGCTCCGCACATGTAGGTTGCCTGTTGCCTGTTCCAGGGGAACACAGCAACAATGGAAAACCTGGCCATTCACAGTTCTGTAGAGCTCCATATGCTGAAGTGACACCAGTCCACTGCCTTTGGGAACGTCAGCAGAACACAGCACATTTTCATATCGTAAGGTCGATCTTTGAGGTTTGTTTAAAAACTCTCAAGATACTGTTGTAATTGGGAAATCATGTTGCAGCAATAAAAGAGTAGAGAACACTGACAAGCCACTCTGGTGTTACCAAATTAAGAAGTGAAAAGATTTTAATTTGACACATTTTCAGAGAAAGGTTGTTTTTTTTTTTACTCACTCTACATTCTGAGCACTTCCTCAACTGTCACTGCACACTTTAGTGCTCAGGAATCAGAACAGATCTGAGTCCTGGAAAGATCGTATCACAGTGACAGCGGACTCTGTCCTGTACATGAGGCCGTGTTTTGTAAACAAACAGGCAGAACATTGGGGAGAATAGATAATATTACAGATGCAGAGAGAGACAAGGAGGAGAATATTGGAGGGTTTTTTATATACTGTCAATGGTTCGGTGTCTTTGAACAGTTCTTTTCATTCATGTAAATATATACACCCAATAAACATATTCTTTCTTTAAATGTGGTTTGGGTTTGTTCTGTGTCTCTGCAGTCGATACAGTGCATCCATACGTTTTGTTAGGAGCGTCGTCTCTCTGCAGTCGATACTCGGTGCATCCATACGTTTTGTTAGGAGCGTCAACTTGAACTGGTGTTTGATGGTAATAAGTCATACATTTTTGAGTGCAACAAGGAAGGAGGAGAGAATTGATAATTAAATTATGTGATAAATAACCTTTTAAAATTTTATTTAATATTTAAGATTAAAATTAATGAACAGTCATATACCTGAACTTAAAAAATCAATATTTTTATTACTCTAGGATATCTGCAGATTAGCATAAAAAACAAAATCTTTACTTTTCATCAATATTAATCTGCATTTCTATTACTCTAGGATATCTGCAGATTAGCAGTAAGATTACAGTACAATTACGCAGCTACACAGTCTAATGGTAGCTCTGCTGTCTTTGACCACATCAAACATGTATCTCATTGAGGTAATACTGCATGGTTTGAATTACTGCAGCGATAAGAAAACACTCAAGTTGCACAATTATTGCACAACCACCGTATGCTCTTTGTCACATCTGTGCATCGTCTTTGAGGCTGACAAACTTCATGCATTACTGCCATCTACTGATTTGGAGTGTATGAATTATTGAAAGATTGTGTACGCAATAAATATTAAAGTAAATGTGTTACAGGTACACTGTTTAATTGTTAAATGGTTGGTCTTGGAGAAAATTGCAAGTGTAGTCACACGTTCACATTAACGGGCACATGAAGGACAGAAAGAAGGACAGGAGGATGTTGATGACATCTTGCAATGTGAATTTCATGGTTATTTCTGACAGGACAGAGTGTTAACCAGTAGTTATCATCCGATATAAATGTATCAGTGGCGGCAATTAACTGTAATGACTTCCCACATTTCACCTGGGAAGATGATAGGAAATGTCAGTAACATTCTGTCAGAGGTGGATGGGATTAAAGTGGGCTGAAATAATGGCAAACACGACCGTCAACAAACTGACGTGCGCTGCCTCCTGTCTTCCCCAGGCCATGTATTATTTACACCATAGCCAGAGGCTAATCTTTTTACATGGATCCAGTGCATTAAAAATGTATGGACATGTAATACTTTAACCATTTGTAAATCCCATGTACAGCACACATGCTCTGTTGCAGTGAAACCAGGGTCTCATACAACTGTGTCATCCATTATTTAGGTTTTTTTAAATTGGGTTAAATATCCAAACATCCACAGTGAAGCTAGTTGTCTAAATCTGAAGGTGACTTGACAAGAGGTCGAAGGTCACTACGTCTGAGACTGTTAAGTAAAATTACTTCAGCTGAAATGTTAATTGAACAAAGGTTTCTATTTAACAGGTTTGCAGAACATAAAGAAAGAAACAGGTCACTCAAAATGTAATTAAGTCAAGTTAACATTCTGGTTTTCTTGACAAAACAAATGAGTAGACTGGAGTTAAAACAACTACCAAACATGAAGAGTTCGTTACTCAGACAAAAGCTATTTTGAATTTTATATGTTCAACAAATTAATATAAGCTAAAGGAACTAAGTAAAAAACGTTAGTTTTGACGCAGGTTTAGTTCATACGTCACATAAAGGTACGACTTTATTTGTATAAATGTATGACTTCCGGTAACTTTACGACTCTATTCTTCTCTAAATTGACGATTTTTGATACGTTCACAACGATTTACTTTTTTCATAAATTAACGACTTTTAATCTCGCAATTTTAGCTGTTCGTTAGCCACAAACGGCTGTAATATCCCGTTACGACGTAACTATCATTTAAGCCAATTTGTTTTTTGTTTTTGTGTTTTGTTTTTTTAAATAAATAACACGGCGTAACTTTAAGAAATGTCTTAGTAGAATATTGAAAGAGGAGGCGGACGTTTAAAGGTCGTAATGTGGGTTTTTTGTGTCGGTGCATCCCTGCTGTGAGGCGGTCCCTTTAAGCTGGACGGGCTCGTCCCTGTGGAAGGACGGCAGCAGGCAGCGGCTCCAGGCGGTGCAGTTTCTCCTCTCTCTTCCTCCAAAACCAACCTGTCAACGCAAGGCAGACAGGAGGAAGACACTTCACCCCTCCGAACACTTCTGCTCCGTTTTCCGTAAATTTCAGGAGGTTGAAGAAACATAATAGTCTCCGACAGAGAGAGCGGAGAGACGGACGGAGAAGAGACCGTCTGGTCGGCTGGTCATCAGGCGTCCGTGAAGCCGCCGCCGCCGCCGTGTTTTTTCTCCGCAGACATAATACCTGCAAAACTCTACCAAACATTTGCGTGTTTTCGTGTTCGTCTCCGCGTTTTTGTTTTGTACGTAAAGTATGCAGTATCGAGGAGTGAGGCTCGAGTGAAGGACCAGGGTCTGTTTGTTGGGAAAGTACTGTAGCAGCGTCAGTGACAGAGGTGAGGACCACCGGGAGAGCGTTAACAACAGGAGACACCGACCAGAGTGACAACACCAGCCAACATGTCTGTCCCGGTAAGTGTTCGGACTCCGGTGTTTACGTTAAAAAAATGTCGTCTTCCTTTGACTTATTATTTATTTATTTTCTAAGTGACAGCCCGTGCTTTAAAAAACCTAGCACACACCCAGTTCTGCATCACGCAGCACTTCAGGGATCGACACTTCAACTTTCACAGTGGCTACTGTCAGTCATTTAAATGCCAGTGAAACATGGTTAGTTATAAATATGTAGCATTTTATAGAGGAACTGAATGAGTCAAACCGTGTTTGTGAAACAGCACCAGATCTAGGCTGTTCAGATCGGGAGCTAAACCAAAATCTGGATAGCCCACATTTACACAACCCGTGGAAAACATACTATAGAAAATACCTGATAGGTAAATAACTCAAGCTTCAATTATTTGATTTAAACCAAATTATTAGTTCGGTTCTCACATTATATCTATGTATGTATCAATGTATTGCAGTAAACATGGCTGGTCAGTAGTATTTTTACTAAAGAACAGACAGAGTAGTAGTGGTGTTGAAAAAATCAGACGTGAATTTACTACTATTGTTCAGATTGGCTGGCAAACTAAAATTTGGGCTGCCCACCTTTTTTCACCACATAATTCTTTTTAAGAATGTCTTTATTTTCAAGGCTAGTGATTGCATTTTGAATGAGTTTCAACATATTAGTAATACAACACTTTGATTCTATCTGTCTGTCTTTCTGTCTGTGGAGATCACGAGATTGAAGTGATCAAAATCAGCTCCCTCCAAAAAGAGAAATATGGCGCGTTACACTTGGACATTTTCAAGCCTGAGCTGGAAAGTGTTTGCTGATGTAAACTCGCCCTGAAGGCAAGATTTTAATTATGCCAAGCAACAGCGTCTTTGCTTGGTGATGATGTTATTTTCTCACCTTAAAACTGAAAACTACTATGTTTTATGTTTGGGGGAAAAGGAGTGATAAAACCAAGGAAACGCGGTGGACACTGGAGTCACAAGAACTTAACGTTGCCAGAGTCAGAATTGGACCTATGTTTAGTTCAGTGGCATTAGACAAGATTATAAAGGGGAAACTCTGCTACTGGAGAATCTTTGTATTGAGAGGGGGGGGGGGTATTTGATGGGGCATTGCATCCCCTTGCCCCTTTGACTATACCATAGAACCAGACATCAGTGGACAGGGGCTGTTAATGGGGCAGTTTGCCTTCTATCTTTTTGGTTTCAGACCTGAGTGGTGCCACAGTTATTCTTGGCAGTGCTGGCCTTTCAACACATCTAGACAGCTGACGTTGCCTCCCCCTCCTTCCCCCCGCCCTCCCAATCTGCCTCATTCTACCTCCCTCTTTTTGCTGTTTGGTTGTTGATCGTTCAGGTGGGCTTGACGGAGCTTGTAGTGTACGAGTTTATCAGATTCCTGAGAATCTGTTGCACAAAACATGCCCGAAGGCTGTGTTTGCTGTGTTTGCTGTGTGTGTGTGCGTCTTTATAAGACTATGAGGACATAACAACGTTGTCAAGACAAGTCCAGAGGACATGTTGTAAGTCATATTTGAAAGAAAAGGCTTGGGTCTCTCACATGACTGTTTTTGTTTAAAAAGAGCAGAAAAAAAGCTCAGGATTTCCTGTCAATAAAACAAATCTGATTTTTAGATGCCGAAAAGTAGAAGTACTGGGGTTTCTATGAAACTGCCAGACTGAGTGGGTAGATTTGGTCAAAAATAACCCTAATTTGAAGAAAGAAAGAAAAAAAGTCTGTTTCTTCTTTCTTTCTTTTCTGGCTTTATCAAACGTAATGCATGAATTATTGCACATCAACCCAGAACATCTTTGTCTGTTTTTGTTTGTTTGTAGTTGTTATGGTGATGTAGCTTTAACTAACCTCATGCCTCTGCAGCTATGTTCTCAGATGGTTTGTGGTCTTTCATGACATTGGGTTTCATGATGTACTCTTCCATATCTGTCAGTCATGTCACGGCACATGTTCATGGTTCTGTCATCGTTTAATCTGAGACAGTGACCATCATCACGGAAGAAATAACCGTGTAGTGTGACCTTGGCATTAAACGCCAACTGCAGCATAAATGGTGTCACTGTTATTTGTCAATCTTTCAGAGACAAGAAGCATTTATTTACAGGAGCATGTGCGAGTTTTCTTGTAAATATAAAGTGAAATTCTCCTGCAGCGCCTGAATGTAGGCTCTATCTTTAGCACTCAACTGTCACTACCACACACCGGATGATTCATGTGTACTGTAGGTGGGAAAGGGTGAGCAGAGGTTTGGAAGGCTCGCCGATGGTGTTCATTAACTCCATGTCAAAGATTTCTATTTCTGAAACATGTTCCTGTGACAGAAGGATCTTCTTGTTTGTTTGTTTTTTTTTACTTGGCTGGTGGACCTTCTTTTTTTCTCTTTGTGTGTGGCCTTTTGCAGCTCTAATATGGTTTGTTTACCAGGTAAAAATATCATCACTTCCTTTGTCAGTCTGACTGACTGGATCAAAATACCTACTCACAACAATGTCATTTAATATTGAG